GCCTGGCCTTTGGTGCAAGCATAAATTCAAAATCTGCAGGTGACCCGAAGCTTGGAATTGTAGAAGCGAGGAAGAAAGTTACAGACCTCAAGAAGATATAGACAGATGAAATGAACAAACTCAATGAGGAAGTGAAACATGATACATTTTGGTAGGGTGATTGAGAAATAAATATGAACTTTCATATGTACAATTTTAGTGAAGAAATAAAGACCTGGGTGTGGGTATACATAAAGGTGGTTGAACAACCAAGCTTGTTCTAAAAGCAATATAGGATTCCTGTTCTGAGGATGGGTTACCGGACCCGAAACGTTAACTCTTTCTTCCTTCACAGATGCCGCCAGACCTGCTGAGTTTTTCCAGCAACTTTATTTTTGTTGTTGATGGGATTCTAGGCTCTATAAATAGATGTTTAGAATGCAAGAAAGCTATGCAATGCCTTTATAAATTCCTCGTTAGTCCTGGGGTGGACTACATTCTGCGCTGCATTTCCACACTTTAGGAGAAATTTATGACAGGGTGCAGAAGAGATGTATGAGAATGGTACCAGGAATGAGAAGCTTTAATTCAGTGGAGAAGCTAGAGTCATTGTCTTTAGAACAAAGATTGTTAAGAGGGGATTTGATAGAGGTATTCAAAATCATGACTGATTTGGCTAGCGTAAGTAATGAAAAACTTCTTTCCAGTCAGGAAGCAGAGCATTTAAGTGATTGGCAAAAGGAACAGAGGCAACATGAAGATATATTAGTGACATGGTGAGATGATGTAATATGGAATGCACGTTGTGAAAGGTTGAAAGCAGATTCAATAACTTTCAAAGGTTAATTTGATAAAGGCTCTTGAAGGAAAAGCAAATACAGGTTATGGGGGAGGAAAAGGGGAATGTGACTAACTGCACTCAATGGCCATTTATGTGTTGTATTGAGCAATACTTTAATGGTAACTTCAAGATGTCATAAAGTGTTTTAAGGCCAATGAAAGATTTTGAAATGTAATCACTGCCATACTTTATAATGAAACTGAGATATTTGGACTGAATTTTTCAAGGAATGACAATCTCAGACCAGGATGCAAGAGGGCCAGGTAAGTGAAGCAGTGTTTAGAAGAGGGCGTGGTGGGTGAGAGATCTAAGGTTTGGTAAGAGTCCTGTGATGATCCAGGGAAGGTGGCTGTCAGATCCCAGGATGAGGTTGGTGTGGACTCACATTGGGTCTGAAGCAGGGGGACGGGTGGCTGCGTAGGTAGGGCAGTGAGTTGGGATTGGGGTAAGGGGAGAGGAGTGGCCCTGAGTGGATGTGTCGGGTATGGCCGCAGCAAGGGGTGGAGGGGTATGATATCAGTTCAGGATCAAGAAGGTGTAAGTAGCTTGGTGGAGGTGTCATTGCGGATGTGTGAGTTATGTTTGAGGCCAGTTGAACAGTTACTCTGGATTTAGACTATGTATTTAATAGTTTAATTTTTCTTCTGAGTAACCAGTTACTTTTACTGCAGTGGAACCCTCTGAATTGTCCAGTTTAAATAGCTATGTTCAGGGTTTCCAGGTGTAAGAGAATTGGCCAATGGAATCTTCAATTTCTGAAGCAATTCCTTCAGAGCCCGCTATAATGGAGATTCTGCAAGGACTCCAAATGCAACTCCCTTCCACTCTAGAATAACTACTAACTGGCCAATGGAAAATCTGGACCATTATTACAAACTGTGTCTCAGATCCTTTAAAGGTTAGTGGATAACCATGCAGTAGTTATGGGCTCTGTCTCAGACAATCCATCAGGAGCTGTTTGGCTATTTTTGATCTGCAAGAGTGTTCATTGCTGACCTAGTGACCAACTTGAGAAGTGACAATGACAACAACCAGAATTTTGCAAAGAATTTAAAAACAAAGGCATGGAGAACAGAACATATGCACCCACTGATATGTGCAGCAAACTTTGTTTTAACCAGCACTTTGTGAACTAACATTCTCGATAAACTGGCAAAAATTATACACCTCAAATATTGCTGAGTTTACTGTATTATTCTGTTCAATTATTAAAGTTTTTTTCAAATTTGGTTACCTCAATGTAAATATAGTTGTCGCCATCTTGTCTGTGCCAGATTAGTGAACTCATTTGCTTGTTTTAAGGAAGGGTTGTCTAATGGCACAAACAATGGAATGAAGAAATTCTGCTCTTCATTCACCAGAGAGCACCGCCACAATATAGAATTACACAGAAACCAAGAGAACTGCGGATGCTGGAAATCGAGAAGCAAAAACAGCAATTGCTGGAAAAGCTCAACAGGTCTGGCAGCATCTGTGAAGAGAAATCAGAGTTAACATTTTGGGTCCAGTGACCCTTTCTCAGAGCACACAAAATTACATAGGGTCAACAGCATGGACAGAAGGAAGCAGCTCCATATGCGGCTTCAAACACCCTTTTTCAAGTTATTACCTTATCATCATCACCTTCAATTCCTTGTTCCCTCAGTTGCTTATCTAACTTCCTTTCAAGTGTTTCTATGAGTTATACTGTCGATGAGATATGCTGGGACTGCAAAACTGTCCACACTGTCATGGGCCCGAACTTTGATACAGACCACTTGCATCACGATTTTAAAATTAAAACAATTGCTTTTGAAAACAAAGCCGATATTAACCAGATCGATCATCCTCACCCATCATTTCTTTGCAGTCGATTGTGTGATCTTGAATCCTTGGACCATGTCACGTGCAGCCCTGGCCTGGATCACGTTATCATATTCCACAAGGACAACATGATATTTTCGAAAGGGAAAGGGAAAACCATGTTTAGTTTTTGTTCAAAAATATGCCCATATAATATGACAGGGTTTTTCTTAAACCCTGCTGTTTCTGAACTGTGACATGCATTTATTAGTTGTTTATCCATGCTGTGTAGCTGGATGTGGCAGGAAACTTCTCTAGACAGACAGACTCCATTTCTGAAGAGCGTTCATCAACTGAGTATCATCGAGTCACTACAGTGCAGAAAGAGACCATCAAATCTGCACCAACCCACTGAAGAGCATCACACCTAGAATCACCGTATCCCTGTAATGCCACATTTCCCATGGCTAATCCACCCAGCCTACACACTATGGGACAATTTAATATGGCCAATCCAGCTAACTGGAATGTGGGAGCACACAGGAGAAACCCACACAGTCACCAATGGCTGGCACCAAATCCCGGCCCCTGGTGCTGTGAGGCAGCAGTGCTAACCATTGAGCCACTGTGCCACACCATGTTGTTATTAAGTATCCTTAATGTACCATGAAATTTAAGTACATGGAGGGCCCAAAGATCATGAAATTAGGATTCTTTATTTCACAGACTTCTACTCTTAACAAATATGAAGAGAAATCAAAGTTAAACTAGGAAAGCCCACTATTTACATGGAATTAAGCCTGTAGTTTATATCTCATTGATGAAATGCTTTGTCTGTCTCAGTGTCTCTTGATGAGGCCTCTTCTAGAAAAAGACATCCTTTCCTCCGAAGGGTTCTTCTCAATTACTCGAGTTCTCCTGTTCAGTGCCCTCCCTCACCATCACCACCCACTGCTGGAAGACTTATTATATTAAGATATTCAGGGGAGGTTGTCCACATAAGCCTATCAGTAAGGTTCACTAATTTCCTTAATGGAGGGAAACTGTCTTCCTTACTTGGTCTGGCCTACATGTGGTCAACTCTTAACTGCCATCTGGATGATTAGGGATAGGCAATATATGCTGGCCTAGCCAGTGATGCCCTGATCTTATAAATGAACAATAAAAAAAGGTTCAACAACTGGTTTGCAATGTAGAATAAGCCCAACAATATGGGTTCAATTCCTGTACCGGTTGAGGTCACTATGAGACGTGATGACTCTCGGGTTAAACTCACCACCAGTTGTCACCCTCTATGGAGAGAGCAGCCGTATGATCCTCTGGAATTGTGGTGACTATTATTAATGAGTTTCAACATAGAAAACCACTAGAGAACTGTGAAACAGAGGTGTATGGCCTTAATTTAGATGTACAATGGCAATCAACTACAAAGGCTTAGACAGGAAGCAACTGAAAAGCAAGACAAATGGTTCTTGGGAGAAAGGTAAAGCAATCCTCTTAATAATGGAATAACAGGAAGTAGATGCTGGGAACAGGATAGAGGAATGAAACAGACAGACTGCTGTGAGAATTGAGAAAAGGGAGAGAAGCCCTCTTGAGGCAAGGCAGGAGAGGGAGAGGTTCTTTTTAGATTGTTCAGGAGAAAAGTATCAAGATCATCTGTATAAAGACATAGAAGAGAGAAGAGACAGGATTGGGATAGTATTGAGAAATGTAACACTTTGTCTTTAACATTCAGTGTTAGGGAGAGGGGAAAGTGAGAGAAAGAGAGAGAGAGACATTGAAAGAAGACACACAGAGTAGGACAGAGAGAGAGAGAGAACAACACTGTTTGAATAGAATGGAGAAGTAAGATTGAACATAAAGAACTGTCCTTGCATGTACCTTCCTTTAGAAGTGAAAACAATCATTCAGAATCTAACTAGGGCCTTTTTTAAAAGGTGGAATGTGTGACCTTCTATTGGGTAACCCTAAACTCAACCAATAACACTGTAATTTGTGAAGTGATTCACCCATTTAAGTATTGAAAGCAGTTTCGATCAATATTACTATCTCTGTTTACTAAGATTAATCACGCCTGATACACCACAGCTGTAACAAGTTAAACCATAGCCATATTTTGGTTTATTAGTTGCCAATTATAAATAATATTTTAAAATGTTTCTAATTATTCCAATTCAGATTTCCCAATGGAATCTCTTAAAAAGGTTAACAATAACTTTCAAGTTTGGAGATTGTTGAATGAGTAATTGGCTGTACCATTAGTACAACTCTGTTTGATTACTGTGTCAGACCGATGAAAACATTTCGTAAAATATTTGCTCAGGGCCTGGGAAAGATAAAGCTTTTTATCACGATGCAAATCACTTTCATTTCTTTTATTCCATTTGACGGTGAACAGGAGAGGTCTGAGACTGAAACTGATCAAGCCATCCCTCAGAATGCTGTGGAAATCCATTTGGATCCTGCTTCTCACTTCGTATTTTGGTAAGTTGCTTTTGGTAATTTGTGGACAGAATAATGTTGTTTCCAAGCACAAGGTCACACTGACGTTGATAGCAGAAGCTGAGTTAAAGGGTCACAAATTGCTCGCCATTTGAGCAGTCGCAAATTTCACACAGGGAGAAGGGGTGTTGTATATTTTCCCCTACTCTCCAATTTTAGAGACAATGTAGAAACCTCAATGTACAAAGGGAATGTTGTTGTGTCTACAGTGTTGCTTATACGCAGAATTCATATAGAGAGACCGTACTGCAATGTTTGGAAGTGTTTGATATTTCACCTTTGGAATGAATGAGATGGCTGGTGCTGTTGACTGTGACCAGGGTTTTAAGGCCTTGCGTCAATTAATTACAAATTTATTCTGAAGGAGATGAGGCTAATAGGCAGCAACATTTTCTTAAAAATGAATCATTCTTGATTTGGGCTGATCGGTGGAGAATTTGGATTTAGAAGGCCTTTGTCCTGTTTAATCTCACATTTCTGGGAGAGCAACCCAATCAATTCCTTATTCCAGCTTCGAAGAATCCAGAGTGCTGGCTTCAAATGATCTTTTTGTTTACTTTTCGGCTGTTGCATATAGAAAGATGACTTGATGTCCGGCCTACCTGAATAGAAATGTAGAAACATAGAAAAAGGAAGAGAAATAGGTCATTTGGCCCTTTGCAATTCAATATGATTGTGGCTGATCAACTCCTGTTCCTGATCTCACTCCATACCTTTTGATCCCTTTAGCCATAAAAACAATATCTAACTCCTTCTTCAATCTCTCCTGCCCTGTTATCTTGGCATATGTGAAAGTAGGATCTGGTTTTACTTTCTTTATCCTGTTAAGTGTAGATGAAGTCCCATTTGAGCTATCACATTTTTTGAGATTTAAGTTAGAATAGAGTTGCTATGGTTACAGATGGTAATTGCTGGTGATGCGATGAATTGGTCCAACGTTTAGTTTTTAAATGCTGGCAGATTCTAGCCATAATTTACCTCATATATTTTGCATTTCATTTGTGTGAGACAGCATGTATATCACATTCATCACGTAACATCATGTGTATCACTTATTTTGTTCTATGAAGGATAAATATGGCTATACCTCATATGGGTTGATGATCTTGCTGTTTTATTTTGTTCATGTGCTCTTTTGATATTGCCAGCTTAAGAAGGTGTTTACATGTGCACAATATCACTGTATCATGGCAATTTAGATGTACCACTGATGTCTGAAACTGTGTTCATCGAACTTATGAATTTAGCAACTTCAGCAGCTGAGTTCAGTTTCAATGAACCAAATAGATGGTGTTGCCGTGGGATCCCCTCTAGGCCCAGCTCTTTGTTAGTTACCAGGAGAAGTGCATCTTTGATGGAAAAGACAACTAACCTCCAAAGGTTGCTTACTTCTGATTTGGCTCACTTACAATACTTCAATCAGCAACCACATCAAAGAGTTTCTTTGCATAGTTCAATAACCTCCATCCTGCAGCCAATTTTAACATTGAAATGGAGCAATCAAATGAGCTCCCCATGACCTGAATGTATAGGTTGAGAGAAAATGGTCTCTAATTAGAGAGAGAACGACTGGTGTTTTTTTATCCTGAGAATCAGCACACTTCAGGAAAGGTTAAGAAGGAGAGACCTTCATAATAACCTCAGCCAGCGCAGGAATTGAACCCAAGCTGTTAACATCACTCTGCAGTAGAGACCAGCCATCCAGCCAACTGAGCTAACCAATCCCATGCTTAGTGCCTATCTACTGAAAGCTTATATTCACCACCTAATATATGCTTTGGGATATCTATAGTCCCACACACTACAAGATCGATCTTGTTGGAAACATTGTGAATAGGGCCCCGGGCATCTGTGTAAGTTTGATACTGAGATAAGGCATTATCAATACTATTCAGCAGACTAATGGATACCCAAACCAAATCATCAATCGTATATCACAAAATCTCATGAAAGGGCTTATGTCCACCAAGTTTGGCCTTGAGTGATGCCCAGTTTACCTCAGATTACCTGGGAAGGGGAATGGTACGTAGGCAGTGCACCCCAAGAAGTGGTGGGCTGTTTCAAAGAACATAATTTATTGGCCATTCTTAGCAGGCAACAACCCAACCTGGGCTCAACCAGCACAAACTCTCAATCTTCAGGAAAGCATATCCACCACTAGATGTGATTCTGTTGTGGGAAATGACTTATTAAATAATCGAGACTGTCCGAGAGTTACACCAGAAATTAATTTAAGTTCATGAGCCAGGCTCGCACTTGTGTATCATAGAAACTACATATATGGATACTCATGATGCGTTTTACGTGGACAATGGAAAATCATACATACATTGCAGCTTTGGTCTATGGAGACAGCCAAATTCCCATGGCAATGTCCTGACCAATCAGAAACTGCCTTCCTGTTCTGAGAATTAAGATTGACAGTTAACTGTTCCAGCTGAATCTCCATGTCAGTGATGGTCCAGCCAACCAGCACCCTCTTCTTATTTTGTAAGAAATAGTATCTTTTTTTAAGTCAAGTCTGTTTTTTTGCATTCTGATGAGTGCAAAATGAACAGCTTCAACTTCTTGATTCCTTTAGTAATTTTTCATCTTGTTCTAAGTGTACCAAGCCTTAAAATTATTTGCCTCATTTGAGATGAGTGTGATGGTCCTTGACATCAAGGCCACATTCAACTGAGTGTGGCATCAAGGTGGCTGAGCAAAACTGGAATCAGTGGGGCAAATTCTCCACTGGTGGGAGCACATAGGAAGATCGTTGTGGTTGTTGGAGGTCAGTCATCTAAGCTCCAGGATATCTCCACAGGAGTTCCCCAGGGCAGAGTCCTAAGCCCAGACAACTTCAGTTGCTTCATCAGTGACTGTCCCTCCTCCATAAGGACAGACATGAAGACTTTCACTAATGATTACACAAAGTTCAATGCCATTCGCAATTCCTCAGATGCTGAAGCAGTCTATTTTCAAATGAAACAAGAGCTGGACAATATTCAGTCTTAAGCGGATAAGTGACCATTAACATTCATGCCAGACAAATGCCAGGCAATGATCATCCCCAGTAAGGGACAATCTAACCACTGCCTTTTGACATTCAATGGTCTTACTATCAATGAATCCCCCACTATCAACATCCTAGGGGTTATTGTTGACGAGAAACTCAACTGGATCAGCTTTATAAATACAGTGGCTACAAAAGTAGGTCAGAGGCTAGGAAAACTGCAGTGAGTAACTCACTTCCTGGCTCTCCAAAGACTGTCCACCATCTACAAGGCAAAACCCAGGGGTGTAATGGAAAACTCCCCACTTGCCTGGATAATGCAGGTTCAACAACACTCAAGAAGCTTGTCACCAAGCCCACTGGATTGGCACCTCATCCATAAGTATCCATTCCCTCCACCACTGACACTCAGTAGGCGCAGTATGTACTATTTATAAGATGCGCTGCAGAAATTCACCAAGGCTCCTTAGAGAACACTTTCCAAACCCATGATCATTTCCATCTAGTAGAATAAGGACAGTAGATACATGGGAACTCATGCAAATTCCCCTCAAGCAACTCACCATCCTGACTTGGTCAAAAATCACATGACACCAGGTTATAGTCCAACAGCTTTATTTGAACACCCTAGCTTTCGGAGCGTTGCTTCTTCTTCAGGTGTAGTGAGAGAGGAAGTATCAAGACACAGAATTTATAAGTAAAAGCTCAAAGGATTTATACAACTGATGTGAATATATTGAATAAACCTAAAATAGCTGGCTGACTCCCTCCTGTTAAATGTTTAATCAGTTAGAAAGGAGATGCAGGTTTCGATTGATTAAAATGCAAATCCCAGAACTTCTTTCAAGTCGCTGCCCAGAGATAACTAATGGTTTTATATAGTGTGTACAAGAGGTGACATCTCAGGTCATACAATGTATTTTAGGTGTGAGACCTTGTTTAGAATCTATCTGTGTTTTAACCTGGAGTCAGACTGGTTTTATTTCCAAAGCAAGAATTTATAAAATGCCCTATTGACTGAGTGTGTCTGCAAATTGTGTGCTGATTGAACAAAATAGAATGTATCTTCAAATACAGATCTGCAAATGCAAATCACCCCATATATTTATATGTGTATATGTGTGTGTGAGAGAGAGCGTATGAGTGCGTGAGGAAGTATATATATGTGAAAGAAAGTGTGTGTGTGAGAGAGAGTCTGTGTGAGTGTGTGTGTGTTTGTGAGAGAGGGTGAGTGTGTATGTGTGAGTGTGTATGAGAGAATGTACAGTGTGATGGGATCACCTGTAGTGCGACATGCATCCAAGATCCCAGTTGAGGCTGTCCTCATGGGGACCGAACTTGGCTATCAGCCTCTGCTCAACCTTCAGGACAACATCGACCACAACACCACACAACCCTGTCATGGCAACTTCTGCAAGGCATGTCAGACCATTGACATGGACACTACCATCACATGTGGGAACACCATCCACCATGTACGCGGCAGGTACTCCTGTGACTCTGCCAACATTGTCTATCTCATACGCTGCAGGCAATGATGCCCTGAGGCATGGTATATTGGTGAAACCACGCAAACGTTACGACAACGGATGAATGGACACCGCGCAACAATCGCCAGAGAGGGCTGTTCCCTCCCAGTGGGGGAACACTTCAGCGGTTAAGGGCATTCAGCCTCGGATCTTCAGGTAAACGTCTTCCAAGGCGGACTTCGGGGTACACAACAATATCGAGTCAGTGAGCAGAGGCTGGTAGCCAAGTTCCGTACCAATAGGGATGGTGTCAACCGGGATCTTGGATTAATATCTCACTACAGGTGACCCCACCACACTATAAACACACACACACACACACAAACACACACACACAAACCGTCTCTCACACACACACTTTCTCACACACACACTCACATGCACACACACTTATGCACACTCTCTAACACAGATATATTCTCTCACACTCATACACAGTCTCTCAAGTGCACACACAC